ACATCATTCCAACTCTACTAGCCTAAACAAGTTCATTTTAATTTCGATCTATTCAAATAAATCATGGTTGATGTTGTTACAACATAGTTGAGTAAATTGTGTACTTAGGTTCAAGTGTCTTTGTGCATATTGGTTTACTTCAGCTAACAAATATTTAAATCACTTGATGGGGGCTTTTAAGTAATGCCAGGAGAGGAGAACAGTTGGAGGGGTTAACTGAGTATCCTGATATTATCTCAGTGGGTTCATCTTGATCTCTATCTATCCCTTCTCCTACTCCTGTGGATACAAGTACAGCAACTTTCATTTCATGGAACGAGCCACTCGCTATTTTCTTAGCTATCCAGGACTGTCTAGGATCAACATAGCTTAGATAACAGTCCAGTTTCTCACGTGGGTGGGCATTGTTAAGGATCAAACCCACACCCTCACTATATCAGTGTATTTACCCATGTGGGCGCGCGACACACTGTGCTTAGCTTCTTTGGACTCAGACTTGTAAAACGAACCATGCATCTCCTTACCGGTGTAATCTTTCAATATATAGGCTACTAGTAGTGTCATGATGCCGCATCTGGCTAAACAATTCTTCCGTCCACGAAGGGGTCTAAACCTTTATAATGTTGAATGTTGAATTAAGAATCGACAGCACTCGGGACACTCCCATAAGCGCCCCGTCTCCATCTTCAGCAGCAAGCGCAGAGTAAAAATTCTGATGGTACCAGTAACAGTCTGATTGTATATCCGTCCCGCCCCTCCCCCGAGTTTCTAGCGTCGGCCAGATCCCCTCGTAACTCCTGGCAGTGCCATTCTCCCCAGACCGTGATGATCTATATGTACCTCGGCACTGTTCACTCGCTCCCAAAGGGCCCTCACTACATCCAGCTTGTCATATATCAGTTCACCACCAAGTGGTGCAGAACCGGCCAGTCTATCCGCTTGCTCCTTTCCCAACACACCGGTGTGACCTGAAGAAAATATCCAAAGGATGCTAATTACCCGGGACTTCTAAAGTGATGCTTGCCACTCTGCACCGAGCATGCCTGTCTCCGCATTTCTCCGCATGCTCTGTGAGTCAGTTACAATGACGACATGTGTGTACAGCTAATTTTCAAGCCAACGGAAGGCAGCAATGACTGCCTCCACCTCCATTCTCAAACTAGACGTTGTGATATCATATGTTAGGCTTTGTTGCGCCAAGCGACGCCCATTCGCCTTCGCTATAAACCCCCATGCACTTCGTCTGCCCCTCACCACACAGCCATCTGTATTTACAATCACATCATTTGGGCGGGAATTGGCATGAATCATTTGTTGAACTTCTGATTCTGCAGCACCAGCTGGCCAGTCCCTTCACTCACGTTCCAAAGTGATTAGAACCCTACACAAGTCTGAAACATGATCGACTTTGACCCACTTCTCTCCTCGCCTAAATTTATCAAGCCTGCACACATGTCGAATTGTGTCTTCAGCTTGCGCCATTCAAGACTTTCCTCTTTTCCATCTGTGATCCTTAGCTCTATCCAGGGCTTCATGCAGAAGGTGTCTCTTGTTCGCAGCTACTCTGAGATATGACTTTACCTGCAGAACTTGGAACATATCTGTAATAGTAGGCAGTGCAAGTATATATCGCATACTACCGGGTTATCTCTCGTACTTCACAGAATCACCTGCATAGCTTCATTCTGTATGCGTTCAAGTTTCATCAGCTGAGTCTTTGATATGGTAAGCATGCCAAGTCCATAATCTATCACCGACAGGATCACATGCTGGAACATTGTGAACAACATTCTTTGTTCCATATCCATTGCTGCCATAATCTTGAGAGCATTGAGTCCTTTTTGGCATTTTACTGCAACTGCATCCACATGATCCCTGAAGGACAGGCTTCTATCAAAAATGATACCCAGGTATCTCAGTTTGCTTTCTCGTTTGATGTTACTGTTATGAATTGTGAGGTTTGGAACGCCAGCCTTGACAATTCTATTGTCCAGAGAACACCACAAAACAGATGCTTCCTCTGAGTTGATGACAGCACCATTTTCGGCACACCAGTCTGTCACTTTGTCCACAGTTGCTTGTAGCTCGTGAGCTATCCGTTGCCTATCTCTCCCTTGCCTATATGCAAGAACACCACCGGCAATATTCTTCCAACACCTGGTTATTCAAGTTCTGCAATTTTGCTTGTATGCACATTAAAGAGCACTGGTGAAATGGCAGAACCCTGGGGTAGTTCTAGGACGATATTACATTGTTCTGAGGTCCATGTACCCAGACGAATGGCTAACATACGTGAATGCAGGACAGCTGCTATCTAGTAACCAGGGACAAACCCCCTTCTCCATGAGTGCAGAAATCAAAATATCATATTTGACTCTATTGTAGGCATCCTCAAGATCAAGTGCTGCCACAACTGTCAAAAACTTTTGTAGTTTAACAGTAATAATCTTCTCTATCACCTTGTCGCACATAGTGTCATCGGGTGCTTATCGCTTGTGTAATGTCCCTGTGGGGTAAAAAGTCAGTCAGTCAGTCACGACAAGGACGTGAACTGATCACTTGACTTCTTTTTTTTTTTCTTTTTTTTTAATCCAGTGAATGTACAACGAGATCTATCTTGGATATGCCTGGAGTTGTCGTTGCTGGTCATAACAAAAACAACCTATGGTAGGCCGATGCCACTCTCTTGACAGCGACAAGTTAGAAAGAACTACAGGGATTGACACGGTTGTTGTAGAATGTAATAAATCGACCTCAGCTTGAATAATGGGAAGACGGAAATAATGATAATATCAACCCAAAAAAAATGAATAGTATCTAAATATATAATAAAAATCAAATGCGTTATTTTAGGATAAGTACATACATTTAGGTATCTAAGCACATGGCTAACATCTGACAGATGTCGGATAAAGACCAGAATAGAGCAAGATAAAACGTACATTTGAAAAATTTTGAACCTTGTATTCAATATATCTATGTCATTACATCAAGTCTGCACAAAGTATGGCATGGGAATAAACACCATGAAAACCGTGGTAACGAGAATAGGCAGGAAGCATAATATCATGAACGTTAATGTTAACGGTACTATAATCAAACAAGTAGGAGAATTCAAATATCTAGGAAGCATATTTACGGAGAATGGCATACTCGATAGAGAAATAGAAGCCATAGTACAGAGGGCAATTGCTGTCACCTAAAAGTTAGCCCCACTGCTCGGACACCTAAATATCCAGCAAAAGCGCAAATGATTAATAACATCTTTATCCCTAATTTATGTTATCAGTGCCAAACATGCATATTCAACAGAGCAATAGAACAGAAAATAACTATATGTGAAATGCGCTGGCTCCCTGAGCACTGACGTTCAAGATTTTATCCGACAAATGGACGAATTGAGGTATCCCGATAGAAATGTGTGGTCAGAGGAAGACCGCTGACAGACAATTCATCCAGAAAGAGACTCACCAGTAGGACAACTAAGCCAACAAGAGCTGGAGAAACGCAACGCCAGAGCTGACAGCGAGTTGAAACTTTTTGAAGAACTGATCGACGTTCACCTACACATGCGCGAACTAAAGTCACGCAGCAGGGAAAGAACACAGGCCAGCAGTAAATCAAAACCAAAACGCCACTACCGCCACAACAAGTACTAAAGTCATCAGAGATCCCATAACGAAAGTGCCAGCGCCAGAACCACTGGAGACCCTCTCAATCCGTTCCAGGCTGCCCCACGCAAACTGTCTTTTTCAGGACTGGCAGACTTCCCTCCCAAACAGCAGAAAAACAGCCATATTAAAAGCCGGCAAGCCAGCCCACCTCGGACATGTTACAAATCACCAAACTCAGGCGAAATTGATCGCCACACAGAATCATAATTCAAGCTCAGTTAGCAAATGAACCGCTCCTTAATATAGCAGGCCTTCGGGTGGCTAAAAGAGGATCATGCTTGTGATTTGTGTTTTTTAGTAATCCGAATCAAAATCCTAGAAGTAAATATAACTTTACCTATCTAAAAAGTCAGTGTCTGTGGCTTAGGTAGTGTGAACCAGCTTCGTAATACCAGGGTGCCGGGTTCGATATCAGCTGCAGAGGTTTTGTCTTGCGTTGGTTTCGACAATAGTACCAAGCGCTGACCATTCAGTAGCAATGGTAAACAACTGAACGTGAAATGTTCATAGAAAAATCACAACAGCCAAAATTGCTTGGGTTGGTTCTGCAACGTCGGGTAACGATAGAGCTGTAACGAAGATGTGATTATCACTAATCAGCCGATTAAGAATAACGGGACCAACTTTTCGGCCGAATACGAATAATGTATAGTGTATTAAAAATCTAAAAATAAAAAAAAAAATAAAAAAGGCACTATGTCAAATGTAAGCTGAACTTTTTCTTTACAAAAGGTGGTACACACTTAAAAACATGTTTATGTTTTGCATCCTTCAATCAGTCTGTAGTAACTAATAACTAGGAATAAAAGGATTCTAAGTATTATAACAAGTAACTAAACGTGTAAATTGTTACTGATAGCTTAGTTAATGCATAAAAGCTGCATAAGCTTTCAACAAAATCAATCGTTTCATGTTGTTAGCATTAATGCAGCGAATGCAGAAGCAGGTGTAAGGTAAACACTATTCGTACTCGGCCCAACCGCAAGCATTCGGCCCAACACCGAATAGTTATTAGGTCCACTATTCGGCCCCGAAGCGACTACGAAACGAATGTCGGTACAGATCTGGTAAAGGATACGGAGCAGCCAGGGCAAAAATTTAGAATTAAAAATCTACACAAAGTATTTCAGGATCCTCACTGGTCTTACAGAGTTCGTGCATCGTGCTGAGAATCTTTGGACTCAGGCTTGAGAAGTAGAACAAAGCACTTATGGGTAACTACCCTTGTGTCATGATAATGATCCGTTTGTTAAACCTAAACCATATACAACTAACTTCAAATATTTTAATTACTAAAGTAAAAATATGTGAAGTCGGTAATCTCACCTCCTTGAAAGTGCCGCTTGCACGGGCCACTTGGATGTAAGCGACCAGAATTATGCTTACAGAGCATGAAGCCGAGAGAATCCAGGCAATGATCCTTCCCCACAAAGGATACTGATATGGGTATGCGTCATTCGGCGCAATGAGGATTAACTGCAATACAAGAAATCATTACTAGTTTGACTGTAAATGGTGATTTGTAAGTCACACTAAGTAAACTGTATTTCTACTCAACAGGCATTGTATGTACCAGCTGCTTTACAAATTGTATTTAGAACTAAAATACCAACTTTTCATAGCTAAACTGAACTGTATGTTTATACCAATACTCTACTAACTGTTTGAACCACTACACTATCTACTGTTTGTAGTACTACTCAAAGATCTTTTTATAGTACTATTCAAAAATCTACTTATCGCGTTTTTATAAAAACTGAACATGGTTTTAATAGACAAACTGCAGGTAGCACTACTATGCCAGCTGTTAATAGCACTTACCAACATTCACTACACCACTAACTGTTTAAAGAACTACTCTACCAACTGTTTACAGCACTACAAACATATGTTTAGAGCGCAACTCCATCAGCTGTATATAGCATTACCAACTGCATGTAGCCTTGATCTACTAAGCGCGTATCACATTACTCTGGCAAATTGACATAGCATTACTTTGCCAACTGTATGTGGCATTGCCCTACCTACTGTAAGTAGTATTACTCCACCAACAGGATTGTTCAGACTGAACGATAAATTAGGCTACATGCCGGACAGGCAGGACAACTTAAAGCGGAATCTAACAAAGAGGCTGAGAGACTAGAAATAGAGAAACTGCGATTGGAATCTAAAAAAGAATCTGAAAGGATGCGGATTTAAATGAATAAGGAGATGTGTCCATGTATAAAGCCTAATATGGTGGATGTCAGAGATTGTTCCGCGACACCATGCCAAATAGTTGCAGACTTGTCTTTCTGAAAATAAGGCTGAGCGACTCAAAAATGTTCTGGTCTATGCAGATAGACAGAGGTTAGTCCACAAAGATAATCCAGTGGTGAAACTACACCTGAAGAACTAAGGAAAGTCCAGTCAGACCAACTCACGAAATCTCGAGTCCATTACAATGGTCATTTCTGCAAACAATCAAAATCTTCAAAAAATTAATTCGTCATATGCCAAGCAGCCGATCAATGGTTGGAAGAGACCATATTGTAACAACTGTAAGAACAATTTGCATCACACTGAAGTATGATGCGGCCATCTTGTTGAAGGACAAGTTTTCTGCACGGAAAGCTGTTTACAATGACAGTACTAGGTCCCCGTTGTAGAGGAAGTGGGTGTTAGTGGTGGATTTCATCCAAGTTACTCTATCTTTATTGTACTAGAATTAGCAAAACGGAAAAGTACATTGGTAACTTTGTAGATATTCAGAGTGCTGCTCTTGACGTTAAACCTTTGCACCTTTGAACAGCCAATATTGAGCTATGGTCTAAGTATGTAGCTGGGACTATTGAAGCTATTGTGATTAAAAACGCGATTGTTCTCTTCATGCTGGGTGCCAGACATATCTTTCTGGCTTTCTGGAACAACCTAAGGATTCACAGCCATTGCGAACCCGCAACCCTGCAGATCCCTCTCCAGCAAATCCCATGCCGCATAAAATCAAGCTGGCACAAGCCAATGATGCTACTTACAAGGGTTGTTTTAATAAGTTACTGACAGTTCGTAATCCTCTAAAGAAAGAAGACATTTAAATGAACGCTAAGTTGTTGTCCAGAAAAAGAAGAGAAAATCATACAGAGTACTGCCAGCTCGTAGTGCCCCAACCCTTCAGACAACAAATCCTTAAAATGGGCCACACATGGCGCCAAGATACAGCAGATTTCATGTCATTACTTCTGGCCTGGAATAACTGAAGCTATCGTCTACTTTGTCACATCGTGCCCGGAGTGCCAGAGAGCTGCTCGTAAAGACCAAACCATACCAATAAGTTTAGGTGAGACACCCATTACTTCTACACCATTTGAGAGAGTGGCTGTAGATCTGGTCGGCCCTCTTCCACTTACTAAGACAAAGAATGCCTATATCCTGACCATGGTAGATTGTATTATCATGTGGGGCGAGGGGAAAGATAGAAAGTAAGAGCGTGGCAGAGGCTTCACATAATATATTTAGCCGTGTAGAATTTCCGCAGCAGATCCTGACCGATAATGGTTACCAGTTCCGAAGTAAGTTGATGTAGAAGATGTTCCAAATCTTTAAAACTCGACACGTTTGTACAAGTCCATATTGACCGCAAACCAACGGCCATGTTGAACGTTTTAATGGTACTTTGGAATCGCTTTCATGACGACTCACTCGGGATAAACTTGAGTGGTGGGACGAATACTTGTCTGTAACTTAATTCGCCTACCAAGAGGTACCACACGCATTCACGGGATTAACTCCAGCAACTTATATGTTTGGACGACCCATTGCAGGACCTCTTGAGGTGTTAAGAAAAATGTTGACTGATGAAAGTACAGGCAAGAGCCTAAAAATTATTTCCCAGAACGTTGAGGAGTTAAAGAGGAAGTTGAAAGTAGCCTGGGATCTGGCTCGGTCAAATCTGATTCAGGCTCGTAAGAGGTGCGCAGCCAGGTTTAACCAAAAAGACTAAGTAGAGGAGTCTTGAGGTTAGTGATAAAGTCATGTTCCTACTTCCTTGTGGAAACTCTAAATTAGATATTTCCTGGCCAGGCCCATTTAGGGTTGAGGAGAGTGTATCCAAAACTAACTACAGTATTATTGTTATGCTAAAGTCCAAAGTCTGTCATATAAACTTGCTTCGTATGTCGACCAAGAGACAAGTGATCAGAAGACACTTTTGGCTATGCCGGTAGCAACTGAGGTTAGGGGGGGGGGTGAGCCCACAGCCGTAGAATACCCTCCACATCATTAGGAGACCTATGCTGAGGTAGAGGTGAATCATCAACTCACAGTCTCTCAAAAATAGCATACTGTACAATGGTTACGTGAGTACAGTTCACATGGTAAGGAGGAACATGGCGAAAGTCCAGACCTCCAGAAGGAACTGAGGGTGGAGAATGTTAAATGAAAACCCAGTTGGTCTTCTTATGTTTGTTGGATCACATGGTAAAGAGGGTAGAAAAAAATGTTATAAACCTCCAAAGGGGAGTAAATGTGTAGGATGCAATATTTGACCCGGTATTCCTTCCTGTGATGTTTAGAAACTGTATTGGCCCTGGGGAACTCTATCCTAGAATTCAAGGAAAACCCGTGTTATTTCATGGTCTGTTTTGGCTTACAGATAAATTGGTTTCATCAATTAATTGCGTCTATGGATGTACCTGGACCTAGTTCAGATGTACATTTGTGAATCCAAAGAATCTAAATCGCTTAGGAGATTTACACATTCATTATCGAGACATCCAGAAGGATTTCGTGATTGGGATTCTCTTGTTGATAGAGCTGAGTGAAGACTATTAAAGTCGTCGCCCAACGTCAGGTGGAGGACTGGCTGAAGGGTTGTGGTAGAACAGTGATGAACTAGAGCACTGTAACGCATAGAAGTCTCATGTTGGTTAGTAAGATCGTGGCACGCTCTTATTAGGAAGCCTCTGTCACGAAACCACCATGAGCCATTTGCTTCAAAATGTTGAGAATCACTGTTATACAATTCGTTGTGTAGGTGTAATTTTCACCTTGTGGGCAACTGTTTGTGTCCTTGTCGGATCAGAATAACCGTTAGAGATGGTCCTAACTCCCTTGGTTTGAAATAAAACAAGGAATCTAGATTACCCTTTCTTGAATGGCTTGACTTTTCTTGAGGTCCTGTATCAGAGACACATATGGATTACCCTTTCTTGAATGGCTTGACTTTTCTTGAAGTCCTGTATCAGAGACACATATGGATTACCCTTTCTTGAGTGGCTTGACTTTTCTTGAGGTCCTGTATCAGAGACACATATGGATTACCCTTTCTTGAGTGGCTTGACTTTTCTTGAGGTCCTGTATCAGAGACACATATGGATTACCCTTTCTTGAGTGGCTTGACTTTTCTTGAGGTCCTGTATCAGAGACACATATGGATTACCCTTTCTTGAGTGGCTTGACTTTTCTTGAGGTCCTGTATCAGAGACACATATGGATTACCCTTTCTTGAATGGCTTGACTTTTCTTGAGGTCCTGTATCAGAGACACATATGGATTACCCTTTCTTGAGTGGCTTGACTTTTCTTGAGGTCCTGTATCAGAGACACATATGGATTACCCTTTCTTGAATGGCTTGACTTTTCTTGAGGTCCTGTATCAGAGACACATATGGATTACCCTTTCTTGAATGGCTTGACTTTTCTTGAGGTCCTGTATCAGAGACACATATGGATTACCCTTTGACATGCCGGGAAGAAGGAAGGGATGCTTTGGAGATGTGTTCTTCAGAAGGGGACCGTTGGTAATCTTCATGATTACCTTCTCCTTGCACCTACCACTCTATACTTCTACTTGACACATTTGGAATGTCACTACTATAATTGTTATCCTTGCTTAATTTTCACCTTGTGGGCAACTGTTTGTGTCCTTGTCGGATCAGAATAACCGTTAGAGATGGTCCTAACTCCCTTGGTTTGAAATAAAACAAGGAATCTAGATTACCCTTTCTTGAATGGCTTGACTTTTCTTGAGGTCCTGTATCAGAGACACATATGGATTACCCTTTCTTGAATGGCTTGACTTTTCTTGAAGTCCTGTATCAGAGACACATATGGATTACCCTTTCTTGAGTGGCTTGACTTTTCTTGAGGTCCTGTATCAGAGACACATATGGATTACCCTTTCTTGAGTGGCTTGACTTTTCTTGAGGTCCTGTATCAGAGACACATATGGATTACCCTTTCTTGAGTGGCTTGACTTTTCTTGAGGTCCTGTATCAGAGACACATATGGATTACCCTTTCTTGAGTGGCTTGACTTTTCTTGAGGTCCTGTATCAGAGACACATATGGATTACCCTTTCTTGAGTGGCTTGACTTTTCTTGAGGTCCTGTATCAGAGACACATATGGATTACCCTTTCTTGAATGGCTTGACTTTTCTTGAGGTCCTGTATCAGAGACACATATGGATTACCCTTTCTTGAGTGGCTTGACTTTTCTTG